GTGTGTGTGTGTGTGTGTGTGTGTGTGTGTGTGTGTGTGTGAGAGAGAGAGAGAGAGAGACAGTGGTGGGTTTCAAAAATTTTTGGAACCTCTTCTGTAGGTGTGGCCTGCTTTCTGGGTCCACTGGTGGAACCTCTTCTAACCAGTCCGGTAGATTTGACGAACCGGTTCTACCGAATAGGTGCGAACTGGTAGGAACACACCTCTGCTCATGTGGCTGTTTCAAAGGCTCTCCCTTGTCCGTCTGCATGCCAGAACAGCCATCAAATTCAGGCCCAGAAAAACCAACACAGCCCTCTTAAGTAGTTACACAAGCTTTGCAGAAAATGCAGCTGCTTTAATCTTTCAAAAAGAGGAGATTTATTTACATATGACTTGACTCCTTTGAAAAACACTTCTTTCAAATGTTTTTCCATGTCCCTATTATCTACTTCTCATTCATCCAGACATGTAGGACCAGTTCTTAAGAACTGAAAAGTACATAGTATAGATTTAAGGAAAATATTTCAACTTTTATATATTTTGGCCACAAAAGGAAAACAGTTATAAAACACTTTAAGAAACTTACTTATTAAAACAGCTTATACATAAGCAATATCAATTAAGTTCACTATGATGTAAATATTGCAAAACAGATACCATCTTAAAGAAAAGTTGCATTGTTTAAAACCTTTTACATTGGCCAATATAAACCAATTAGTTATCCTCTTCCCTTTACTAAGACTAGTGAACGTAAACTTTTTTTCAAATTTATTCTAGTACATCAAAGCTGATGTTTTAGAATTATTAAATCATATAACATTCTATTGCTTCTACCATACAGCAGATCTAGTATTTATTACTCCATTTTAAATCAATTCCCTGAAATCTTTATGGGCAAGTATTGTATTTTATATTTGCATTAGACAATATCAAAAGAAATGTGGGTTTTTTTTTGCGAGATTCTCTTTTTTTCCTATACAAATTTGTAAAAGGATGTCCCATAATTAATTTTGCTTTTATTTTCATTATATGTTTTGTATTTATTCTTCTCTGAAGTATGATGAAGTAAAAAAATTGATTCTGACTTCATGACAAGTTGTTCTTCATGATATAATTGGATTTTTTGATAAATGTATTATAATTATTTCAGTTTCTAAATGAAGCTACATACAATAACAGTGCTAGTATGTCATAATCTTTTATTTATATGCTTGGAAATAAGGCCTCTTGCAGTGAGCGAAATTTCATATATAGGATTATATAATATACATCACTTAAATAGGTATTCTATTTTCACATTGTATAAGAGAAAATATAGCTAAAACATTCTTCTAAACTCTTCTTTTTTGTATTTAGCATATTTCTACACACAACATAATTTCATGGAATTTCTAGATTTCATAGGGTAACTGTAGTAAAACTTACCTCACTGCTGGATAAATTTTTTCCATTTTTCTTTCTGCAAATAATAAATTTATTTTACTTGTATTGTTTCTGACAAAATTCTTTACAAAATTAACAGAACACATTCTTAAAGTTGTTTCTTTACCAAATAAAATCAAAATATACGTACACACCATCTATTGGATATTTTTAGAATCAAATTTATATTTATATTAGCTAATTTTGTTTTAGTTTCTCCTGATTTTATCAATTTCAATAGGATTTCTGTTCCTGTATAATTTAAATGATAAAACATCTGTGCCTGAAACCATAACTCTAAAAGTATTTTCCAATGTTATTTGAGAAAAATAAAAGCAGAATTACATAGTTTCAAGATAACAAAAAAAGATAGTAATAACCCATTTACACCTAGCTGGTAAAACCAATGCATAAAAATGCCTCCATTTGCACAAAAAATCTCTTTAATTTTCACTGGATGAGAGTATTAGTCTGTAACTTATTTTAATAAGATCAACATATTTTGACAAATAAATACAATAAATACAATATTTTAATATAATGCATGTGAATTAATTGAGAATATTTTCCAGCCTAAATTAGAATGGAGCGCCTGTATCCCTTCAAATACCGCCAAGCTATAATTTTGGTAGTGTCACCTGAATGGCAATGGTGAGTTCCTAGAACTTGTAATTTAGTAACATCTGGGGACCCTATTCTAAAAGTTCTCCAGAACCTGTCAGAACTGGCTGATTTTAATGTTAAAGATAAGCACCACCAGCATGTTAAAGAGATATGATGATGTTTATGCAATGTTTATGCAATACATTGCATAAAAGGAATCTCTGCTTGTAGAGAGGAGGCTGATGGGAGCACAAATTAGCATTGTACCCATGGCTTATTTTAGATTCACTCTACAAGTTGATGTCAGGAAGACATTTAAAGAAAACGAAAGGTGTACACGTATAACACAAGAACTGTGCCAATATGATATATCCAACAAGGTTCACCGACAAATGCACGATAGACATATGCGCGCCGACAAAACCGTGATGACAAAACCGCGATGACAAAACCGTTAATTGATTTTCGACAATAGCGCGCCGACAAAATCGTGCATACGTACGTTATAACCCTAACCCTAACAGTTTTTCTATTTTATTGTCATTGCGCTTTTGTGGGCGCGATTTTGACGTCGCAAATTTGTGGGCGCGGTTTTGTTGGCGCGCATATGTCAATCGCGCATTTGTCGGGTCACGATCCAACAAAACTATTCTTTGAGGAATCTACCTGCCTCGGTGTTTTGTTTGCAGATGACAATCCTGATGCTAGGATCGTCATCTGCAAAGCCAAAGGCAAAGCCAGACTCACTTAATGATCACATGATTCATTCAACAACTTCAATGAATGTTGGCCAAAAGTAACTGTTATACATTCTTGCTTTATTGTTCTTCAATCCAGCTGTAGCTACCTGAGGGAGGTGTGACCCGACAATTGCGCGATAGCCATATGTGCGCCGACAAAAGCGCGATGACAAAAGCGCGACGTCAAAATCACGCCCACAAAAGCACGCCGACAAATGCGCGCCGACAAAACCGCGATGACAAGCACAATTAGGGTTAGGGTTATAATGTACGTATACGCGTCCCACTATGTAGTTTGTGGATGACGCGATTTTGTCGGCGCGCATTTGTCAGCATGCTTTTGATGTCACGGTTTTGTCATCGCTGTTTTTTCGGTGCGCATATGGCTAGCGCGCATTTGTCGGTGAACCGAGGGAGGGACCTTGATGGTGCTCTCTAAAAGTAGAAATCCAAAATAATGAGCTTTTGGGGGGGGGGGAGGAAGCTGGGTGCCAGTCTTACATGCAATAGACTCACACGTAATAAGATGCTCACTCACCCCTTCAATTGTTATTTTCTTTCTTTTAAATACAAACACGAAATGTTAGCACAGGTATGTGTGGGACAGACCCTACAGATAGTCCCCGACTTACAACAGTTTATTTAGTGACCATTCAATGTTACAACATCACTGAAAAAAAAGCGACTTCTGATCATTTTTCACACTTACGACCGTTGTAGCATCCCCATGGTCATGTGATTAAAATTTAGGTGCTTAGTAGCTGGTTCATATTTATGACGGCTGCAGTGTCCTGGGGTCATATGACCCCCTTTTGCATCCTTCTGACAAGTGAAGTCAATGGCATTCACTTAAACATGTTACTAAGTTAACAACTGCAATGATTCACTTAACAACCATGGCAAGAAACATAAAAGGGCCAAAATTCACTTAAAAATCATCTCACTTAGCAACAGAAATTTTGGGCTCAATTATAGTTGAAAGTAGACCAGATATTGAAGCTACGTAGTTCCTAATCTGCTTATGCTTTGGCACAATTCATCCCTTTAAGTCTACTGATTGATTAAATGATGAATTTTAGAATCAGACAAATAAATTATTGCCAAACGAGTATCAAGCAACTCTATTGTCATTCAAACCAATCATTAGAAAAGACGTAGCAAGGAAATAAAAACCAACACTAATATAATTGCTATTCTACCTGCCCCTTTTTAAAAAAAAAAACTAAAAAATTACACTGTATGATCCATACCAGGACCTTGGACACATCCTAAGAAAGGCAAGATTTCCTTCGAGAGTTTAGTAATAGAAACTTCCACCCGGATGTTGGGTGAGAATAAATAATTCAGCTTTCTATAAGAAGGTATTTCTAAATGACACCATAAATAGTGGCAGGGCAACCAGAACTTAAAAGATAGATCTAAGTTCTCACGCCAGTTCTCATTATTCTCTGTGATGAAGAAATGACTTAACTCTTCAGATGGCAATCTGAAGGCGACATTTTTCTCACAGCCCCTCCAGAGATTTGATTTCATAAGTAGCTAAGATTTAAAATATCCTGTCAGACTACTTTTTGGGGGGGGGGGCTGTCACTTCTCTTTCTCTTTCCACCCAGCAAGGTCTTGGAATATCAAAGATTAATCAATAAAAACAAGAAACTCCTTTACCTCCTGTGCTTTTTTCCCCCAGATTATGCTCAAATATCCCACAAGATCAGAACAGATCCCTTCTTTGCCAATGGGAAAATGCATTTCCTTTCAACTGTGTTGAAAGGATAGAGCTGTGACAGTAATTTCTCACACTGATAAGAAGCCTAGCAAACAATTACAAAAAAGAATCAACAGATGCAACCCTCTTTTTCCTCTTTGAAGGAAAAAAAAGGGACCAGAATTTTGTCACCTATATATACACCACATTTTTCAGAGTATAAGACGCACCTTTTCCTCCCTAAAAAAAGGCTAAAAATCTGGGTGTGTCTTATACACTGAATACTGCAATAGCATTAGCAATAGCAGTTAGACTTATATACAGCTTCATAGGGCTTTCAGCCCTCTCTAAGCGGTTTACAGAGTCAGCATATCGCCCCCACAGTCTGGGTCCTCATTTTACCCACCTCGGAAGGATGGAAGGCTGAGTCAACCTTGAGCTGGTGAGATTTGAACCGCTGAACTGCTGAACTAAAGGGTTTCGGAGGCCTGCAAAGTGGCCCTGGGGGCTGGGGATGGCATTTTTGCAAATATATCTATACTGACCAAATTCATTTCTGGCTTTTGCCTCTTTTGTAACTCTCATTTGTACATTCATGAAAATACTGTACAATGTGTTTGGTGTTTTCCAAACTTATTTGCTGTTAATTATCAATAGGAATCAAAATTCCAAAGAATCAAAAGTAACACATTGACTTGTTGGGAAGGACATGTTCTGTGTTACAATAGTCAGACGAAATGTTGCTTCTTTTTTTATTATCATAAATATATTATCTTTTTTATTTTTACTATTTTACTGCAAAATTCATCCTCATGCTTTCATACATCAGTAGCAAAGCTACTGTAGCAAACAGTACAGTTCTATTTGTTCTGCATTAGTCAAGTCCTGTGATATTCACTTGGGAGAAACAACCAAAAAAATAG